CAGACGCTTTTAAAGTACTTTTCACTATGCATTTTACGAGTAGCGTGAATGTAAAACATTGTCATGAATTCGTTGTATTCCCATTTGTAAAATAGCCAACAAATTAATTGTTGTAGGCTAACCCGATCTCATGAAAGTGCGTACTGATATGTGAATTATTTATTAGCCTTTTTTTTTTTAATCCATGCAGCAAATGCTTTAAAAACAGCTTTAAAAAATTACTTTATTGCATTCCAGACGCTTTTAAAGTACTTTTCACTATAAATGTTACGGGTAGCTTGAACTTTGTCATGAAATCATTGTATTCCCATTTGTAAAATAGTCAACAAATTAATTGTTGTGGGCTAACCCGATCTCATGAAAGTGCGTATAGCACGATTTTCTGCTTCTATTTGGCGTAATATTTATATGCAGAAATTGACTTTGTCATACAAAAGACTAATAAATTCATAATTAATGGCATGGCTGGTTCAGTCGACAGAAATACTGGACACACAGGCCTATAATAACTGCTGAAATGTTTGTGGGGAAAATCTCAGGTTAGTCTGAGTGCTCATGGTACGCACAGTGCGTACAGCCGTACACCTGCAGGTGCCACTGATAATAGCAATAGTAAATTGTAACATGAAAGTGCAGTTAGTGTGGGATACAGAAGTGATCATACTTAGGTGAGTGGAAGTGCAATATATTTGAAATTGTGCAAATTGCAATATTACAGGGGAAAAGAAGCAAAAAAAAAAAAGCTGCAAATTTTGTTAGCCAATTAGAAAGTAGCTCGCTGTTAGAAATCATTCAATTTTACTTTTTACATTCATACAGCCATTTTTACCCATAAATGCGCACACTGTAGAGCTCTGGTTATATTGCTTAAGTCTATTTGCCTTTCTTGGCTCTGATCTTCCGGAGGTAGAACTCCAGCTCTTTCCCTTCCAAGATGTATCCGTCTGCTCTGCCACACTGGCCAGGCCTGGACGCAATACAAGCTGAGACGGTAGAACAGTAAAAAGCAAACTTAGAAGCACTGGGACTCTTTGACTAATTAAACAAAGGTTTGTCTTTGACTGAGACCAGTCTGACTGGTTTTGAACAACGCGGAAAAAAACTGAAAATGAGTCTGTGAGAACACAGTTTGGCTTGTTTCTTGTTCCTCAAATGATAATAAAAATGAGAACATCCTGTGATATTACTAAATCAGTCAGCAAGGATTAGGACACATACTGTAATGTTTATTTGCTTTGGACCATGGATTGAATGGAATAATGGAAATGTGTCACCTCTATCTAATGCTGTTGAAAAAACATCCTCTTCTCAACGATCAGTTTAAGAAAATGGAGATGGTTGTGAATGGCTCAGAGTGTGGAAGACTCACCAAGAAGCTTGCCCTGCAGGAACTGCTCCTCCAGCAAACTGCTAATCTTGCTCTTCTTCCTGCGTCCATCAATCTTCTTCTGAACCTTCTTCGACCGTTTCTTGTTCAAGATCTCCTCCTCTTCTGGAGTCTGAGGGGTGAAGATACATATGTAAATTTACAAAGGCAACTTCTCAAAATAATGCACTTAAAAGCTTCAAGGTTTAGATTCTGGTGTTTTATGTGGAATGGATTGTTTGAACAAGGTTCCAGTCTTTAATTGTATATCTGAATTGAACATTAGAGCTTAATTAGAAAACAATATTGGTTTATTCTTGCTTAAGATGCCATACTAACCCATACTTCTAAAGTTGAGGTCTAAAGTCTAAAGGTGCATTTATATTGCCATTTATTAAATCGCTGCAGGTGTTATGATACTATTAGGTGTCTGCAGTATTTTGATTGCATGAAGTTCAAATTTGCTCTACTCACTTGAATTGCCAGTGTTTCATAAATCACCAATGCAATTACAAGCTCCTCTGAAAATTTGCATTGTAGCAACCATGTAAAGATGACACATTGGAGCTCGTGCTTTTGGAAAAGCTCTTGTCATTTTGTGTGCAATATGCATGTAAGGGTGCATGAACACTCTGGCTGAGACGCCTGAATTTCATCTCTAATAAAACACATGCTCATCTATTTATAGTGTGAGCTGTGAAATGAAAGCCTACCAGCTTTGCCCCTTTCTTGCGGCCCAGTGGAATGGCGTAGTGGGCTTCATACCACTGCCTGAACGGTGTGCTGTCCACCAGAACAATGCAGTTCTTCACCAGGGTCTTGGTTCTCACAAGCTCATTGTTGGAGGCATTGTACACAACGTCAATGATCCTGGTTTTGCGAGTGCAACCTGTGAGTTAGAGTGAAAAATTACATGTGCTTTTAATTATTGCCAAAAATCGAGAGAAAAAACCCAGAGAACTTCCAGAGTAGGATTTCACCATTGTCATGTTTAGATTTGCTCACAGTGAATAAATAATTCACATGGTATGTCCACGCAACCCATGAGACAGACATTTAAGAACAGGTCAATTCAACAGTTTTCCCTGCACAAGCAAATTGTTTTGTTTAACAGTGATGTGTTACATCAGAGACTTCACACAAAATTTCCAGGCACCACTTCCATGATCTCAGTCTAAAGGCATTTCATGGTTTTAATACTTCTAAATGCACTGACACACAGACTCAGTGTCCTGACAACCAATAAAAATATTAGTTGGCAAGACATCTGGAAGCTAGAGGGGGTGGAAATGCACCAAAACACACCGATTTATAAGTTTGCGACAGAAGTTTGACTGGGTCACTCCTTCAGTAGACCACAATGATTAGCATTTTAATGGACGTCTGCACGTTTAAAAAGTCAATAATAAAGTAATTCAATAGAGCTGGTCAGTTTAGTCCTAAAACTTACAAACCTACAAACAAAATTCATCTTATAAATGAGATCAATTTATTGATTAGCAAATAAAGAAAATGTTCACTACATTAATAAGCTAACAAATAAAGGGCTTACAAGGTTTTATGTAATAAATCGTAATAATTATGCAAACACTGCAATGCCTCTCTAGCTTAACATTGTGTCAGGTCAATGTAATACAAACGTAGTAACTTGCTTTTGGAGCTAGAATGAGAGAGAGAGAGAGAGAGAGAGAGAGAGAGAGAGAGATTTATTATGAGCAGGGATGTGCACTCACCCTCAGAGCCCCAGGCGGAGTTCCCGCTGTCCAGTCTCAGCGCGCGGTATTTCTTATTGCCTCCCCTCACGCGCACTGTGTGAATACGACGGGGGCCGATCTAAAAAGTTTACAAATAATTATTAAAATTATTTATTTTTATGTACATTATTAGTTATTATACATTTTTATGTATTCTTTATGTAGTTTTATGCATTTAACAGTCTTTGCAGTCATTAAATCAAATCCATATGAAATGACGCACATAGCCTGATGCTTATGGACGATGATCTTTGATGCTCGTCAACTAAAGTATCGCACCTTTGTGTTGGCAGGAGGGCGACCCAGTTCATACTTTCTTTTCTTATGGTACTGCTTTCTTTTCCCTCCGGTTTTACGACGCTTGTGCCAGTGATCCCTGGAGATACCTGAAGAGAACAGATGACAAAAACAAACAAATGAATTGACATAATATCGAAATTACATGCACCAAAGTTAAATGTTATTACTTTTAATGCCTACAAAAATAATGTTCTGCTGTATTTGCAGCTGAATTAACTGCGCACGAACAGTAAACTTCAGTGCACTTGCGCAGCTTGATTTGAGTATATGATTCTTTGTAGTGCAAAACTGAAACTAGAAGAGCTACAGACTACAGCTGATTACAGCGATAAGCAGTAAATACCGACATCATGCCATCTCTTAGCTGTTTATTCACATATCAAACCTAATACATATTATGTCCATACTGTGATTGTAAATTTAGGATTTATAAAGTATTGACAAGGCTGAAGAAAGACCTGCGTAATTGAGGTTATTCACTCCGTATTTCGAAATACTCACCCATTCCTGGATGTCTTTGACGCTACTAATCAGTGTTGCCAACTAATTTTCAGGGGAAGTTGCTAAAGGAAGGTCGATTTGTTGCTAAAAGTTGCTAAATGACGTTGTGATGTCATTGCGCGATGACGTCATTACGTAATCACGACGCAAAATTGTGCCACTACATGAAATCTCAGCAAAAATATATTTTATGTTAATTTAGCGTAAAATAATATAAATGCATAATATAATGTTAAAATATAAATAACTATTTTTATATACAACATTACATACTTTTGAACGATTTAATTTTTGAACGATTACACGTTTTTTTATTAGCTAGACTAACTGATCAACAATCACATGTACAAGCTACTAACAAGGTGCATCATAAATGAACAATTATTAAATTTTTATTATCATCAAATTGAACAACTGCAAATAGCAATAACTTAATTCATGTGATGTATGTACTTCTAGGCATCTTTGGTTTCCTCTTTTTGTGAAATTTAGATGGAAAATGTGTGCCTTTTTATTGTTAAAAGTTGCTAGGGTAATCTGAAAAGTTGCTAAATTTAGCAACAAATTGCTAAATTAATTAATTATCGCGAGAATTCGCGCGAGAACATCGTCTGAGGCAGCTGCAGTCAAGATCTATGGTCAAGATACGTAAATAGCGCCATCTAGTGCACTTCACTTTTGTTAATAAAGACAATTTATAAGACAGTACAAAGCTGTTTTTACACAAGGTTCCATCTTAAAGTTGATTAAAAATGATAATAATAATTTCTAATTATTTTGGTTGAGGTTCCAAAATGCAATAAGACATGTCACATCTTTATTGGATAAGTCATTTACAACCCAAATTAGATATGAGGTCAGTGGTTTCACCAAATTTTCAGTCCTGAAGACTTAATTTAACTGAGGAGTGACTGCAGTGAGAACAGCAATGGACAAATTAGTCTATCAAAGGACGGGTGAGGCCTCTGCTCATGTGGCTCATGTGGAAGACATCTTGCTCTTCCTGGTTATGTAGCTCTGGTAGTAAAAGTTGCTGAAGAGTATAAAGAGTATAATGCAATATGCAAACACAACTGCATTCATGGAATCAGGAAAATCACACTCGGTGAAGAGGTTGTAACCAGTGTGAATAGTCAGCAAGACAAACTGGACCTGTAATGAGAAGTTGTTCAACAGTCCCGCTGATGTTATGTTTTCCGTTTTTAATTTTTTAATTCTTAATTAAAAAATTATCATCTGGCCTTCTACTAACAGGACATCTGTATTGAAGCAATCTACAAAAGAATAAAAATTTGTGAAACAAAAGGCTCTGATAGACTAAAAGAGAAAATTAGCAGAATATCAATGTGTTGTGTATTTACCAGCTGTAATGAGGTGAGGTAGCGCTTCCACCACAGATATTTCTGCATGTGAGGCCCCAGGGCCGCCAGGCCATAGTAAGAATACATCACTATATGAACAAAGGTGTTCAACAGCCCGATAAAAAATGCTGAATGAATAGGCAAAAAGACACAAAATAATGAAATACATGAAAAAATAACTAAAAACAATGCATACATAATTGTTATATTTAATGCGTATATGAAAATACATAGAATCAAAGAAGGCTAGGAAACAGTGCATATTAACTGTAGTCACTGAATATATATGAATTATTTAATGTTTCTCTCTTACATTGACCTCCCGCCACAAATTTAACTCCTGCCCACCAGTTGAAGATCATAGTTCCATGATGATACACATGTAGAAAAGTGAGCTGGCTGTTCTTTTTTCTTAGGATAAAAAAGACCTGAGAGAGGAGGTTGGGAGGGAACGCTTCTTTATTTGAACTGTATGTCTAAAACGGGTGTAAATATCTGCAACAATCATATTTTTTAAATGAGTCAAACTTACTGTATCACTAAGCTCAATAACTTTAGAGAAGAAGAACCACCAGCCTTTTTATTGTTTGAGTCACTTATCAAAAGTTGCTCAAAGTAGCCAAATAAAATTTAAAAATAGCTAAATTTGTTGCTAGGTGCTTTTGGAAGAAAAAGTTGCTAGGGTAATCTGAAAAGTTGCTAAATTTAGCAACAAATTGCTAAATTAATTAATTATCGCGAGAATTCGCGCGAGAACATCGTCTGAGGCAGCTGCAGTCAAGATCTATGGTCAAGATACGTAAATAGCGCCATCTAGTGCACTTCACTTTTGTTAATAAAGACAATTTATAAGACAGTACAAAGCTGTTTTTACACAAGGTTCCATCTTAAAGTTGATTAAAAATGATAATAATAATTTCTAATTATTTTGGTTGAGGTTCCAAAATGCAATAAGACATGTCACATCTTTATTGGATAAGTCATTTACAACCCAAATTAGATATGAGGTCAGTGGTTTCACCAAATTTTCAGTCCTGAAGACTTAATTTAACTGAGGAGTGACTGCAGTGAGAACAGCAATGGACAAATTAGTCTATCAAAGGACGGGTGAGGCCTCTGCTCATGTGGACCAATGTTAAGACATCTTGCTCTTCCTGGTTATGTAGCTCTGGTAGTAAAAGTTGCTGAAGAGTATAATGAGGCTGACGCAATATGCAAACACAACTGCATTCATGGAATCAGGAAAATCACACTCGGTGAAGAGGTTGTAACCAGTGTGAATAGTCAGCAAGACAAACTGGACCTGTAATGAGAAGTTGTTCAACAGTCCCGCTGATGTTATGTTTTCCGTTTTTAATTTTTTAATTCTTAATTAAAAAATTATCATCTGGCCTTCTACTAACAGGACATCTGTATTGAAGCAATCTACAAAAGAATAAAAATTTGTGAAACAAAAGGCTCTGATAGACTAAAAGAGAAAATTAGCAGAATATCAATGTGTTGTGTATTTACCAGCTGTAATGAGGTGAGGTAGCGCTTCCACCACAGATATTTCTGCATGTGAGGCCCCAGGGCCGCCAGGCCATAGTAAGAATACATCACTATATGAACAAAGGTGTTCAACAGCCCGATAAAAAATGCTGAATGAATAGGCAAAAAGACACAAAATAATGAAATACATGAAAAAATAACTAAAAACAATGCATACATAATTGTTATATTTAATGCGTATATGAAAATACATAGAATCAAAGAAGGCTAGGAAACAGTGCATATTAACTGTAGTCACTGAATATATATGAATTATTTAATGTTTCTCTCTTACATTGACCTCCCGCCACAAATTTAACTCCTGCCCACCAGTTGAAGATCATAGTTCCATGATGATACACATGTAGAAAAGTGAGCTGGCTGTTCTTTTTTCTTAGGATAAAAAAGACCTGAGAGAGGAGGTTGGGAGGGAACGCTTCTTTATTTGAACTGTATGTCTAAAACGGGTGTAAATATCTGCAACAATCATATTTTTTTAAATGAGTCAAACTTACTGTATCACTAAGCTCAATAACTTTAGAGAAGAAGAACCACCAGCATACACTGGCCATCTAAAAAGATACAGTAATAATTAGGTAACCAATGCATCGTTACTGGAAATCTAAAAATAACGATAACATCATAGGTAAATTTGATTATGATTTGGAAAACAGGAATTACTGATTATTAGCAAAGAACACTAGGCAGCTAAACAGAAAATGAGAGAGATGTAATCACCCTCATTCCTAGAGGACTGGGGCTGTAGTCCACAGGTTGACACAGATAACTGTAGTCTGCCAGCCAAGATGTGACCAAGAACTGTGGAAAGAAAAATAGATTTCAGATTTGATGACTAGGTTATTTTAACGTAAGACCTTGAAATAGTATGCACCTATATTGGACTGAACTAGAGTATGTATGTATGAAATACAAAATGTACCTCATGGAACATGTAAATCGACAAACCGACCATGGCAAAGTTGTATACAATAAGCACTGCTTTTAGGTTCACTGGTTCCGTGTGTTTCATAAGCTTGGGTCCAATCCAAATAATACCAAGATAGCACAAAAACATACAGATGATTGGTACAGGAGAGTAGATTAGAAGCCATGGGTCCGTCCGCTTATCTGAAATGCCATGACAGAAAACACAAGTTTTGCTTAAAAGTGCATTCTATAGATTATTATATTCATATTTTATGATGTAACGTTTCTCTAGATAGTACAGTAAAATAGAAGGTGTAAAATAAATCATGCTTATACAACACGAAAAAAAGCATACCCCCATTCTCCAGAATCCAGCGGTGCATGGATTCCACTCTCTGCCATGCTGATTCCATAGAGGACTATGCTTGAAAAAGATTAGACTAGCATTCAGCAGAAGAGGGTAAAACACGTATAAAGAGGAATAATATATCCCGTGTTTGTGCGTTCTTAATAATACATTATATACAAAAAATGCGCAGGGTTGCATACCTTAAGGAAGTAGATTTGCGGTCTTGTGCTTGAGGGATACCTTCTCCCTATGCAGGCTGCTCTTGTAATTATTGCAACTTAATTTTAATGGCAAGGCGTTAAATTTATTGACAAAAAATTTAACGTACATGGGATATTTTTATTATCTGACTGCAATTGTCTTCTTATCCGTATAGGGATTATTTCACATTTAGACAAACGTTCGCAATCAACATAAATTGACCGGTGAACTTACCTGAGGAAAAGTACAGGTGTATCGCACTGTGTGGAAGAGTTCAGTCAGTCGCACGGTCAGATAGGAACTTTAAACTTCACACAAAATTATGAGTAACATGGGAAATAGGGTGTTATCAGTTGTTATGCAGAAGTGCACAGAACTATCGGAAGAAAAACTTTGGACTGCACCCAGTTTTCATAACTCACATTTCACATTTAAAAGTCCCACTGGGGCCGAGAAAACACACACATTAATCTGAAATTTAAACAAATATACCAAAAGATAAATTTGCCCACTTTTTACTAAGAAAGTATATTTCCACATATGTGTCATATTAGAAATAATCTCAGGTTTGTTAACAAAATAAATAAATATATAACCTTGACTCTTATTTTGACACCCTAGTATCAGAGAGGGAAGGGCATTCAGGGAGCAGAGAATTCAATGAACATGATCACGTAATATAATTTATCTGTCTGGCCAAATACTGTTAAATTAAAAGTATGCTGCAAACTAAAAAAAAAAATGAAGAAGTAGAGAGAAAGATTTTTTGTGTGTAAATGTCTTTTATTCTGGATTCCTTTTAATGCCCATTTTTTTTTAAATCAGGCTTATTATACATTTATTATTTATTTAAAAACACAACTATCCCTCTAAAAAATAAAACATTAAAGCTGTAGGTAATATGTGTTATTTTATGTGACACTCTTAACATAGCAAATTTACATGATGACTACACATTGACCATATCAAAATCGTAAACCTTAATATACAGACAGGCTTTTGTCAACAGTTTTGGCTTTTGGCCTTTGTCTTAGAGGTAGAAAAGAATTTACTGAGGCAGAGTTGTTTGGGTCCTTCGTTAGTAACAGCACCCTTAGGCTTTTTTATTTTGTTTGACCGTTTCTCAGGGCTGGGTTTTCTCTTCTTTTCCTGAAAAAGTGTGAAATGTTAGGATAGGGCAAAAACAGAATTTTAATATCAATAAGATATGAAAAATGAAAAGAACTCAAAAACACCAAACAGTGCAAAATATGAAGCACATGCAAACTCAGGAACACTTACCTTGCTGTCCACCTTGCTTGAAGATTCATAGAGCTTCATAATCTGTGTAATTGAAAATACAAGATCTTTACATACATGTGAATAACAGTAACAACATGGTTTAAAAAAGTCTTTTCAAAAATATGCGTTTCTTGTACACACCAAATTTTTTGTACACACAAACAATTTTTTGTAGTTTTAAGGTTAGTTTGGCTTTGCTGTGAAACCCATGAAAATATACACAACCTTTTTAACCCCAGTGGATACAGCCGCCTCCTTCAGAGCAGATTTAGTGAGCCAGCAGGTCTTCTGCTCTTGCTCTCCTTCTGACCAGTCAGACACATGCACGGAAAAGACTATATAGGTTTGATGGATGTGGGAGAAAATATGCACCACCTGACAGAGAACATGAAAGACATGAATGAATATCAAACACATGCATTGTAACCAAACGTGCACATCATCACCGAAGATGCAAATCAAATATTGAGTAAATTTGGATTATTCTAAACCCAAGATGATACGTTTTGGGGAAAACACCCACCTCTCCCACAGACTGCACTGAGTTAGCGTCTAGAGATTTTTCCAGCAGTTTTTGCATCATGTCACATATCAAGCCTTTATATTTATTCTCAGAGGTGTCAGCCTCCAAGAGCGTGCTGGGTAGCTCCCACATCCCTGCCAAGAGTCCTGCAACACATCCATGTAATCCAATATCATATTTTTTCATGATATTTTCTAGAAGTTGTTCATCTTTTTCTCATTCACCCAGTGAAAACTATTGTTTCACCTTTGCTTGGTCTTTGAGTGAGAAAATACTCCATCTCTTCTCCAGCTTGCTGACGTTCCACTATACAGGTTAGGGTTTGCTCCACACGTGGAGCTTTTTTAACAGGCTTTCTTGGGTAATTCTGCACCCCCAGCTGAGGGTCCCAGTCCTCTGATAGACACAAGTCACAGCTGCCAGCAGTCACTGTCAGAGAATGTGAACGTACATTAGACACTGCTTTTGATTTATAGATATGATGTATGGATAAAAAGAGAATATTTCGTGATTAACAGAAGACTTTACAACTTACAACAATTCTCTATGTCAGGAACTGAGGTGTTGAGCTTTGAGACAAGTTTACTTAGAAGTCTTTTGGAGTCAATCTCTTGTTTAATGCTCACCTACAGTATAAAATATATAAAATCTGATATATAATAAGTCATTTGACAGTTTTACAAGGAAGTGTTTTGGTGAGAGCTGCTCAACAGTACCTTCCTAAAGGCATGACAGTGGGTTTGAACGGGACACTGGCCGCACAGAGGGGATTTTGGGGTGCAGACTCTGGCCCCTAATTCCATCATAGCCTGATTAAAGTCTCCAGGTCTCTCTGGGTCAACAAGTGTATCAGCAATTTTCCTGAAATAGACCAATAAAGATCACAATTAAATCCAACATTTTACAACTTAGATCGAAATTTGCTTAACAGTACATAAACTTGATGGATCTTTCAGTACCACAAAGCATCTGTTACAGCAGGACTGGTGCTATCTGCACCAATGGCTCGAACGCGACAAAGAACTCGAATGACGTTTCCATCAACTGCACCGGTCACCTGGAGAACAACAAACATCATTGCATCAAATAAATAAACAGCATTTACTGCTAAATATTCAGTGTTTAATATCCCGACAATGCAATGCTGCCCAAACTGATCTGTGCTGCGCTATTAGTGGATCACACAAGTAAATTAATTCTATTAAAGGAGTAGGAGTTCCCCCAAAGATAGGATCTTTAAGATGTAAATGAGATTTTTTTTATTTAGCATTACCCAAGTTACTCACCAATGGATCCTCTGCAGTGAATGGGTGCCAGAATGAGAGTTCAAACAGCTGATAAAAACATTACATAATTCACAAGTAATCCACACATATCCAGTCCATCAATTAATGTCTTGAAGAAAAAAAAGCTGTGTGTTTGAAAGAAACAAATCCATCATTAAGATGCTTTTAACTTCAAACTGTTGCTTCCAGCTAAAATCCAAGTCCTCTATACAAAATATTGTTTTCTCCAGTGAAAAAGTAATCTGAGTCAGGAGAAAAATATGCACAAATGAGGCACAGTTTACAAGTGAAAACAGTCCAAAACAGTTCTAAACTAATATGTGGTTTATCAAGTAAGAGGACAACAGCTTGAAGTTAAAAAATGTCTTCATGATGGATTTGTTTCTTAAAACATGCAGCTTTTCACTTCACAAGATGTTAATGTATGGACTGGAGTTGTGTGAATCACTTGTGGATCATTGTGATTTTTTATCAGCTTTTTGGGCTTTCATTCTGATGGCACCCATTCAATGCAAAGGAGCCATTGGTGAGCAAGTGATGAAATGCTACATTTCTCATCAAACTCATCAACATCTTTGACAGCTTGAGGACGAGTAAATTTCAGCAATTTTTTGGTGAACCATTTCTTTAAGAACATGGGCCTAATCAAATGCATCAACAAAACAAATTTACCTGTCCAAGTGCTATAGAACTGATTGCGCCGGCGGTGTAACGTCCAACTCCAGGCAGCTGTTTTAGTAGTCCTGCTGTGGTCTTTGGCATCTGTCCATCCAGTTCTAATACTACCTATTGTAAGATTCAACATCTTTTAATATGTGCAGATTACACAAATATATGAAAGCAAACATCTAAATTGCATCTAAATTCTGCATTACTATGTTTAAACCTACTTTCTGAGCACCTTCGTGCAGCCTGCGTCCTCGAGAGTAGTATCCAAGACCCGCCCACATTTGGTTCACTTCCTGCAGGGAGACAATAATACACTGCTGTCAGATGCTCACTATGTCTCTGTCTTTTTATTTTGTGTATGTCTATGGATTTAACTATCACCTCCAGTGTAGCTGCAGCAAGTTTTTCCACAGTTGGCCATCTCTAAAAATAAAGATGCAGAAACAGCATAAAATGTGGCATACCTGAGGTACTGTGAGAGTAGATGTCAAACAGCTTGCCTACCTTCATCCATCTGTTATAGTAGTCTATCACTGTGGCAACTTGGGTCTGCTGTAACATGATCTCTGAGACCCACACTGAGGATAGCATGAGATTTTTTTTTAAATAAATTGACATTAAAAAAAGATTATGATGATCATGACATTAAAACACTTTTTCATACCTCCATATGTCCTGATATTAACACCTGGTTCTGTCATAGCCTGTATGGATTACAACACACACACACACACACACACACACACACAAAAGACTGATCTCAATTCAAAGTCTTATTTGCATTGAATGCAATTAAACAATTTTGTAACAGTGTTTGTAATAGTCATTAGTTAAGCCACTGACACAAATAACCCTCAAGCATAACTAACACACTTAACCCCACAGTCAACATTTTCCCTGCTAATAATTCTGCTAAATGCATAAATTATTATTATTAATTAATTATAGCATTGAAATGCTGATCACTTCCAATCGCTTCCAATGAGCATCTCTCAGGCAGCTGTATACAATGGGCCCAAAAAGCATAGTCACGTGACAAAAACCATGTACAGTCTGTTAGATTAGATTATTTACTAATTAAGAATATTAGATGCTTTTACCAGTGTCCTCCAGGGAAGCTCTCTCTTATTCTGATCATACCACTGAAGAAGGTGAGAGCGGAAAAGAGGGATTTCAGTTGGATCATGGAAAAAGTGGTATGATGAGGACGGTTTAGTTTCAGATGGTTCCTCTGGTGGGAATAAGAGATCAAACTTAAACATTATAACATTTTAAAGGCAAACATCGAGTTGCCTTGATTTATAACGTTTCTCAGTTGCACACAGAGAACCACTCACCTTCTTTAATGGCAGACTTTGATTTCTTCTTATTGCTGGATTTGATCACCTCTGTGTTTTCTAGAGCCGCTCTCTTCCCCTTCTGCACTGCAGATCTTAACCTGCTCATAGCGCTAAACCAATCTTTCACAAATTAATAAACAACCTGTGGGACCCTTAAAACTTTCAGTTAAAATCAAAACTATCTGCACATGGTCGCTATTATAGAAAAAAATGACAACGAATTAAACATCAGAACGTTAAAATTCATATATTAAAAACGACATGTACAAAGTACTACTGTTAGTAATACAGTAAGGAACAAACGTGTTTTCACAACATGCAGCAGTACCGCTCCCGCCTTCGCCATATAAACACTTGAGTAGTTAATTATTTCGGATCTGACGTCATCACGCGGGCGTGGTTTGTTGGCAAGGTCAAGGAGCATGCGCAGTTTACAGTGAGAGAGCTAAGAGTAAATGTTTTGCATGGATCTCCGTGGATATAGCAAGAAAAATGGGATTAGATCAGGAAACATACATTCCTACAGTCCCGTTAACAGTAACTCCTCCATGGTTATTTCTCTCAGTATTCGTTGATTTATATCTACTGGAAAATAGTCATCTATTTAAAGATACAGGAAATCTGCCAGTGTTGGTGGAGGATAGGATTCAAACATTGTATCAGAATTATGTAAATGTTTTTTTAGTGTTTTTATAAAAATAATTATTTTATATATATATATATATAGTTCTGTTAGTCACTCTGATCCACACTCCAGTATAGTAGGTGGCGGTAATGCACCTTAACGTTGGATGCCACCCGCCATAAAACGAGAAGAAGACGTTTACACGCTCCGTGAAACCCGCAAACGTGTGACAGCGGCACCATCTGCGTAGATCTTGTTGAGTTGGTTTCATTTTCGCGCATTTCTAACAAGAGTGATATCACGTCAAGCACTGTAAAACCGAAAGTAAAGACTTGCGGAAACATCTTTTTGAGGCTTTCACAGTAAGTCGAGAAATACTCAAAATACCTAATACTGCATCTTTACGTTTCATGATTTTAAATCATCTAAGTTAACTTAATCTTACGGAAATTAACTATGGGTTTTACTACAGTAACCATAGTTTAACTATGAATTTGTAATGAAACCATAATAACCACAAATTTTACAGTTATCTCACTAACGGAACCATAACAATAACATTCATAGTAAAACGGTAACTAACAGATAGTATTCAATAATAGCTAACGTTACACAGCACATTTCTCCCATATTTAACACGTCTGTTTCGATACTGCGGTCGATTGCAGAGATATCCATAAACTGAATCTAGTGTGTCAGATTAAGAAGGCAAATATACACAGCTTGAAATGGTTTACTGTTAAAATCCATGTCGATGGGTGCAAAGGCCGTTTAGCGAAGTCGGGGCACACATGTTTGCATCGCCTCCAGGCAGCTATTTCAGTCATGGCTAGACAACAGTCCTATCTACTTGAATGGGGGAGGACAGATATTTCTAATAGATGCAGATGTCGCTGGTAAAAACCATAGTTAATAGTAGTGCAGACTCTTGAGGCGCTAGGCTCGAGAGTCCACGCAGGTATATGGGAGGAGTGCATTTTGCCGAAAAGACATGGAAGGCCAGATTGACAAATATTTCTTTAGAACATTGTTTATCGTGTACAGACGATTATGTGTGTTTATTGTAAGGCTGCTTTGCAACACTACAAAATTTAAAAAAGTGCCAAAGAAATAAATTTGAATTGAATTATCCACAAAAGAGGGTAAGTGTAACATTTCACCAAAAATAAACAAGAGTCCTGCCTGATACTTCTATGAATTTTTGGTTTTATTTTACATTTACATTCAGCAGGCACTTCTCTCCAAAGCGACTTACAAATGAGGTGACTTACGATTTTTTTTAGGACTGACAGCTGTTTCTTTTGAATGAGGTGAAGATCAGCAGTGCTTCTGTAATGAGTGTCAAGGAGATGGAGGAGGACACTGCAGCATCTCCAGTATCCAGCTGTGTGTCTATGAAGAGTAATGAGTCAATAGTTATTCTACCTAATCTCAGTGATGAAACACTGACATCTGACCCTGGGTAAGACAAAACTCATACTGAATCTCATTGAAGCATACATGAACAATTTTCATCATATTCATTTTCATGCTCTAAGACTACAAATACAGAAAGCAGTATATTCAGAACCTACAGTTTGTCTGTAAATATGAAATCAGTCAGCTTGCCACTTGTGCAAAGACCTTCAGGACTATGATTTGCACCAGAATAATGCAACTGGTTAAAATGTATCAGCCTTTGATTTAAAAATACAAAATCAAGTTAGAATATAATAATACTCATGAGACTCATTGTACCTGTAGTCATCATTAGCAAATATTTTTTCTATGCTCATTGATCAGTGTGATTCAGAACGGTGTGTTTGCTCAGTATTCAGAGGGATGTTCTGATCCAGATTCAGTCCAGATGTGGAGTTTGTGAGCAGGTTCAGACAGATGCAGTCTCTATCACCTGTGGACACAGTTTCTGCAGACACTGTATCAACCATTACTGGGACCAGACCAGAACATCAGAAGACTTTGACTGTCCTCAATGTAGAAAGAGATCAAAAACACGTCCTGTTCTACAATCACACAAACGCATGGAGGAATCTAGTTCTTCTAGTTCTGCTCACTGCTGCACAGAATCAGACCTGCTGGAGGAGACTGAAGACCATCAGCAGGATTCACATCAACCAGTGGATGATGTTCTGCAGAGAGTGAAAGACAAACACAAAACCAGCATGAAGAACAAGTATGAGAGTTTATTTGAGGGAATCAAAGTACAAGAGAATCAAACCCTCCTGAAGAGAATTTACACACAGCTGTACATCATAGAGGGAGAGAGTGAAGGAGTGAATGAAGAACATGAGGTTTTACACATGGAGAAAAAGCCCCGGACACAACACTTACAAGACACTCCAATCTACTGCAATGACATCTTTAAAGCCTTACCTGAAGCACAATATCAAAGAGAGAAAATCAAGAGTGTTCTTACTAAAGGCATCGCTGGAATTGGAAAAACAGTCTCTGTGCAGAAGTTCATTCTGGATTGGGCCGAGGGAACGGCCAATCAGGACGTAGATTTCATCTTTGTGCTTCCGTTTCGAGAGCTCAACTTGATCCGACACGATCGCTACAGTCTTCACAAACTTCTGCTGGACTTTCATCCTGAACTTCAAGATCTGAACTCAAAGATTTATGATGCGTGTAAAGTTGTGTTCATCTTTGATGGTCTGGATGAAAGCAGAATGACGCTGATGTTTTCAGATGACAGTGAGAAAGTTTGTGATGTGACTGAGACTTCATCAGTGTCTGTGTTGATGTCAAACCTCATGAAAGGTGATCTACTTCCCTCTGCTCTCATCTGGATCACCTCCAGACCAGCAGCAGCCAATCAGATCCCCTCCAAATACATCCAGCGTGTGACAGAAATCCAGGGATTCAATGACGCTCAGAAGGTGGAATATTTCAGGAAGAGAATCAGCGATGAGCATCAAGCCAGCAGAATCATCTCACACATTAGAAGAGCGAGAAGCCTCCACATAATGTGTCACATACCAGTCTTCTGTTGGATCTCATCCACTGTGCTTGAAAACATCCTGAAACAAGACAACGAGAGAGTAGAAATCCCTCAAACTCTGAGTGAAATGTACATCCACTTCCTGCTGATTCAGATGAAGATGAAGAATCAGAAGTATGATCCAGAGAGAGATCCAGAGAAACTCCTGCAGTTTAACAGAGAAGTGATTGTGAAACTGGCTGAAGTGGCTTTCAAACAGCTGATGAAGGGCAATGTGATGTTCTATGAGGACGATCTGAGAGAGTGTGGGATAGACGTCACTGACATTGCCTCACTGTATTCTGGCATCTGCACTCAGATCTTTAAGGAGGAATCTGTCATTCGTCAGAGGAAAATCTACTGCTTTATACATCTCAGCTTTCAGGAGTTCCTCGCTGCATTCTATGCGTTCTACTGTGATGTAAGCAAAAAACTTGACAAATTGCAGTTTGTTGATTTGGTTTACAGCTTTCTCAAAGGTGCAGTAGATAAAGCTGTTGAGAGTGAAACTGGTCATCTGGATCTTTTCCTGCGATTTCTGCTGGGCATCTCACTGGAGTCCAATCAGAGACTCTTACAGGATCTACTGACACACACGGTGAACACCTCAGAAACCATCAAGGAAATCACAGCACACGTCAAAGATACAATCAAAACCATGAGTACTTCAGAGCATATCTCAGCTGAGAGGTCCATTAATCTGTTCCTGTGTCTGCTTGAAGTGAATGATCAGACTCTGTACAGAGAGATTGAGGAGTTTGTGAGATCAGACAAACACTCAGAGAAGAAACTCTCTGTTGCTCACTGTTCAGCAATAGCCTACATGCTTCAGGTGTCAGAGGAGGTGATGGATGAGTTTGATCTGAAGAAATATAACACAACAGAGGAGGGCAGAAGAAGACTCATACCAGCTGTCAACAACTGCACAAGAGCTCTGTGAGTATATTTTTATTTAATTTCTACTTTTAGGTAGTCTTTCTCTTGTTGAGATAGTGTCAGTTTAAGCACTTCCACTGTCATGTCGAACAGTTCTAAGAACGCTCTGGAATGGATTCAGTTATGTTTCCACACGAGTCAGAAACGGCACAATTTACAAACCGTTCCTGGCCTTGACTTCTCAGCATGTTTTTTTAACTGTGAAGAATTGTGCTAGAAAAAGTGACATCACCTCTCAAGATATCACACTGTTAAGATGAGAGCTCCGTTATCAGCCCTGCAGTGGAAAATAAAATCATGCACTATATTGCCAAAAGTATTTCCCCCTTCAAATAAACGTTTATATTTTTCTTCAAATCCAAACAAAACAAATAATTATTATATAGGCTACAATTAAATATAATTTTAAAAGACTTTTGTTTCCATCTTCGTTTCAAGAGGTTTGGAAGGGCCTTTTTCTGTTTTGAAATGACTGTAATCTTGTATACTAGTCACTGATGGGTTTGGGTCAGGCATGGGCAACTTTGGTCCTGGAGGGCCACTGTAGAGTTTAGCTCCAAGCAGTTCCAACACACTTGCCTGAAAGTTTCTAGTCAGCCTAGTAAGGTCTTGATTAGCTGGTTCAGGTGTGTTTGGTTAAGGTTGGAGCTAAACTCTGCAGTGCACCGAGTTGCCCATCCCTGTTTTTGGGTGATATGTTTTTGGCTGATATGTTTTTGGCTGCGTTTACTAGGGGTGTAACGGTACACGTATTCGTACCGAACCGTTTCGGTACGGGTCTTTCGGTTCGGTACGCATGTGT